CAAAAACCAAAACAAGGACCGGCCAGGATTTATACACAGAAAGGGAAAACAATTTACAAAAAAAATAAGAAAGTCTCATTAATGTCACATTTTAAAATAATAATAATAAAAAATAGGACACTAAGTTCAAACAGCTTCTGCTGTACAACAGGAATCCGCTGGGTCTGGTTTGTACACTGGGGGGGAGCCTGCGGTGCCATCCCGGGGGGACGCATCCCGGGCGTGCTGGGGGACCCCCTTACCTCCCCGAAAAACCCGGCTCTGGTTTCTCCGGAACGCTGTCCAGTCCAACACAAACGCTATTACTCGCAGCTTCCCCTCACCTCCATTGGGCACGAGTGGCTACGGGGAGAAGTCGCCCCTTTCCCTTTTCCGCTTCTCGGGTGCTTCCCAAGGCGAGCGCTTCTACTCAGCAAATACAGGGGGGGCCACGGGGTGGGATTTCGGGGTGCAGTGATCCACCCAGGAAGGGATCTCTTGCTTTCGGTCAGCTACGGAATGAAATTCAGGGGGTGTGGAATGAGAAAAGAGCAATCTGCCTTTGGGCAGGGAGGGGCAACACGTTATCACTCCTCCCTGTCCCACACAGGCAGCCCTTGGGAATTCCATAGGGTGGGAGGATGCGGAATACGATGCGGAATTCCACCAGTACAGGACAAACAGCGGTACCAGCTGAATTCTCTCCCTCACACGTGTGACTTGGGTCCCCTCTAACCACGACTCACCAGTGGAAGCCAGCCAGGAGGTCTGGCTTCCAAGCAGGGAGGCTGCACAAAGATCAGCACCTGGCAGCTGCCTCCACGACTTCTGAGCCCCGTAATTAAGAACGTACTTTCCCACAAACCGATGCTACAGCTGCTTGAGTCCACAGAGCTGTATTTTAAACAGGGACAGAAGTGCTAGATGAAATGTTCTGGTTTCATACCACACTCATGCACTCACACGCACCTCAAAACTACCTTTTTTTTAAAAAAAAAAACCCAAAACTGATAAAGTAAAAAAACCCACAAAACTACAATCTTCTTTCAACTAAATAATAAAGTCATGTTTTAACAGAAGTCACCATCCAACTTGAACACAATTTCACTACAACATTATGGGATTCGAGTGATCCCTCTGGCTTGCCACGTTTCTTCCCTCTGTACCCACCCACAGTTTGCTTCTGTACTTCGAGACATTCACTCCTCTCCATTATTTTCCATCCATACTGTGGATTCTTTCAGAAAAAGACCCATTCTATTTGCCTGGATTTTTAAGTGTTGAATGCTGGGTGAGATGCTTGAATTTTGTTACAGAATTATTTGAACTTCCTTAGGGCTTTTCCGGCCCTTTAGTGACACAGACATAGGGGGCAACTCAGCTCGCTGGACAGCACTTCCAAGCGCCAGGAATTTTGTTCCTACCCAGACGAGTTACTCCAGCAGCCTGAGCGACAGAGGCTCGGCAGGAGAATCCCAAGTTGAAACTCAGCAAAAGGACTTGATTAGACCCACTGGGTAAACAATAAATAAGCTTATTAAGGTCAAACAAGAAGGAAGACTAAGGGGCTAGCAGGAGTGAAGTCCTGAGGTGCACACCATGCACAGTCCCCCTCACCCAGGTCATCTAAACACACGCCACCATTTAGGAAACAGCTCGTTAACTTTTGCAGCAGCAGGAGGGAAACGGAGAGCTGCATGCCTTGCCAGCTCCCAGCCATCCCGCCCTTCCACACATTGCCAGGAGCGTCAGCATCACCACGTCTAGAATAAGCTAAGAGAAGGTTTTGTGATGACAAAGAGGAAAAAAAACCCACCGCCTCCCAAACTGCACCCTGCGGAAGGCAGCCCTTCTCCACCGAGGCACGAGGGTCACGAAGAGGAAGGGGTACCCCAGGTTTTGCCACACCAACACTCTTCCCTTGGCTGACCACAGCTGTTTCTAGCCATCTCGATTAGACCAGAGAAGTTAAAAAGGCTTCCTTAAGTTCCAAGGCAACAGCAGCGTTTCTTACAACCATTTCTCTCCTTCCCCGCAATGGAAAACGGTTACCTGCAGGCAAGAGGCTGTGTTGGCAACAGCGCACACAGGTTATTTTTGGAAGAGTACACTCGTGGGGGCTTCCGTGCTTTCGAGACCTCTAGATTTTTAGCCATACGTGAAAAGCAGGAGGATGTTTCAAGACTGGGACTGGTAGATTTCTAGTCACGAAAAAAGCAAATTTCACCATTGGCAGTGACAGGAGGCCCCGTTTTAAAACGTGAAGAGGTAACAATGCTCAATGACAGAACAGTCTGGACTCTTTGCCAGTGTCATATCTTTAAAAGGTGGGTCTGTGCCCTTAAAGTGACAAAGGGCATCTGAAGGAATCATGCAGAAACTTATTTAGTATCCTACCTTTGCTTCGGAGGGCCTCCTGACACATACCTGCAACATCACCCCAGGGCACTCACGCTGAAACCGAATTCCCAGGTGAGCCTGTTGGCATGGTCAGAAACATCACCGACCACAGACTAACACCGCTGTAGACCACAGACTCCTAGCACAGTGCTCCAGGCACCCTTACCTTAACCTTCTCTAAATTAAAAAGTGAAAAAACCCAGAAAGCCTTACATCTGAAAGTAAAGAAAGTCACCTTCAGAGCTGAACAGGGTTTACATTCAGAACTATGGCTACAAAGCTACAACTTTCACCGCAATGTCTTTCGGAATTTAGTGGAAGATGCTATTTCTAGACAATAAACCATCTAATCAGGCTTTTCAAGCTAATCAGGTTACAAAACGCCTTTTCAAAAAGTCACGACAGTTTAAAAAAAAAAAGCCCTCCGACAGCAGCTGGATCACGCCTGGCAGACATCTCGAGGAGCAGGACCCGTGCCAAGCAAGCCAGGCTGCGCAAAGATCCTGCTGCCCTTGCCGGCAGCTCTGCCAACCCCCCCATCTCCCCGCCAGCCGCTCCACCACGGGAAGCAATACACACTTCTACTTGCCAAACTAACGCTCGTGGTGCTACACACCTGCGCCTCCTCGAGAGACACGACCCACCCTTCCTCTTCTGCTCCACTTCACATTGACAGAGGGTCAGTTCGCACCAGGGAAGAGGGGCGAGAGAAAGAACTGGGGCTTTATTTCTGTCCTACCTAACCATTTAACTGGACTCCTACCATGTACCACTTCAGTTCTCCACTGAACCTCATTGTTCACACATTCTCTGCTGCTCGCCTTGTGTTCGTAATGCTTGGATGTAAAACCAGAAGCGTTTGCGAAAGACTCACTAGCACAGTAAGTTTAAACCAGTATCACTAATAGTTTGCTGTTCACCCTCAGAGTGGGATGAAGGTACGTTTGCAAAAAGCTTCAGTTGCAGCAAAAGCTCACAGTATTTTGTGTATGCCGTTCTGTGCACGCAGCATCATCAGAATCAGCTGGTCCACGCTTTAAAGCGTCTCAAAACCACCTCCGCTGTTCTAGGGAACAACACGGAGAACTGGAAGCGTCAGGTCTTACCTAGCAATGCAGCACTAGGTGGGAAAATGAAGTTATGGTTCAAGCATCAGCCTAAAGTTGGACAATTTTCACTGCGGCACACGCAGGTGAGCACATCTAGGAGGCGAATAAAGTACATCCTACTGTACACATGGACTCTCCTGCAGCCACTTTTAGATTTCACCAACACATTCCACATTTCAGCCAAAGCACGTGGCTTATGATCTCCACACCTCCTTGTACTTGAGGAACAAAGGTGACGGTAGGAAGAGGCCACAACTATTGGTGCAGGTTTTCTAAAACACCTTCTTTGGGCTCTCGGGTGTGAGTATCACGTTCTGGGAGCGTAACTAAATACAGCGCGAGTGCACACACTGATGGCAACGACGTGAAAGCTACTTCCCTTAGAGATCCAGATGTTCCTGCCCTTCGTACAACACCTCCATCCTCCTATCCACTCCTGCTTGGCCTTTCAGACCAGCACCTGTGTCCTACGTCCCAGAAAACGCCAGTTGCTATCCCTTATGAATTGTAGCTGTGGAAATGAGAAACACTCTTCAGTGCTACCATTCAAACCGCTAAGACCCAGCCAGGCCAGTTCCAAACCACTGCACCAGCCCACAAGTAACCACTTTACAGGCAGAGCACGTCGAGTGTCCAGTCACTTTCTCCATCACTGACAAAGCACTGTCTTGCCCGTGTGTCAGTACCATCTGCAGACGGTTAATTCGGGAGGGTAACAGCTTAGCAGCAGAGCAAGGTAAAATAAAAGGAGTGTCAGAATTTCACGGCATTGTCACTAACAAAAAAAGTCGACCGAGTAACTGATCAGGGCACTTCATGCCTGCTGCCAGCAGTGCTGCACACTGCTGGCAGGCTCTACGTGCCTCGTGCCTAGACCGTGCCGCTAACCTACCGAAATACAAGTTGTACAGCTTACATGAGTATTTGATCCTGGTCAGTATTTTATTCTATCTTGCGAGTGGCAGAAGAAGAAAGGGAGGACGTCTTTTCAGCCAAAAAAATCCACAGTAACAGAAGCAGGATATTCACTAGAAGATGACACCAGTGACTGGTGTCACTTAGGTTGTCCAAGACTATGCTCTGAAGATGCTTTACAGAAGATGAGCAAGATGTCCAAAACAAGGCCAACTGTGGTGTAAGATGCAATTTACCCTTTAATTTCCTGCCTCAATTTCACCCAGCCACAGAGGATGACTAGATTTCAGTATGAACCATTACCTAAATCATATAGTCGGTATGCAGATATATGTCTTTCTTTAAAAATTTACTTAAAAACTGCTTGAGCTGCAGGTCGTATCAGTCTGATCTGGAGAGTGAAGGCAGTTCCAACAGTACAATAGAGACTTGTCTACAGGCAGGTAAACGAGAGTCTGCTAACAAAGGGGTAACAAAAGCTGCTGGCTGGGCTGCCAATGTTGCACACAAACTTTCATAGGATGTAGATGCTGTGGATGAGATCCAGGATGGGAAAACTGAGCCAACACCTGCTGCTGTTCTAACTTTTTTTTTTTTTTTTTATTCTCCTCTCACAAGAGGGGGTGGGTAGACTATACAGAGGAGGGCTGTACAAAACTGGGCACTAGGCAGGCATTTCTTCAGCAGGCAATCCAGGCTCTACCTGTCCTTGAGCTCTCTTGTCACCCGCTTGGTGATGCGTCCACACATCAGGCCGATGAGGAAGAGTACACAGATGCCAACCGTGATCACAGACAGTATGTAATTCTTGGACGGAGAGGTCATAACTTGCATGGCAAGGTCAGAAAAGCCTTCTGCTGGGGCAACCTGGAAGTGAGAGGAGAATAAATGAGTCAAGCTGCACTATCCATGTGACTCTCAGCCTTGGCATTTATCAGGTTCAGTCTCTGGTACTGCTGCTGCCTCCTGTCACATCAGACTTAGCCTGAACCACAAACAAGCAGGTCTGCAACGATTCATCTGAAGGAACTGCTCAATGGCTGCTCAGGAGACAGCGTTGTAACAGGACGTTCTGCTGACCCTACTTCATTGCCCCAGACCTTCTCTACAGGAAACCAAGCCCGGCGCGCACAAAAGACAGTTTAATTCTGCACTGTTGAGGATGTACCCCAGACACTGAAAGAATAAGATACACAAGTTCAAAAAAGGCGACCCGATTTCAATTTCTCTGGACCAAAATCAAAACGCTAGGCTTCAGAGACAAGAATTTCACTACAGCTGAAATTTTTCATAAATAGCTTGCAACAGAAAGATCCAATGCAAAAACCAGGAAGTAGTTTACTGAAATCCTTTACATATTCACCTTTGCAGCATAGCTCCACATCTCAATACGATCATTAAGGCGTTTCTTGCACTCAGGCTGCAACCTCACACGCTTATCTTCCAGAGCTTCCATTAAGCATGACATTTCTGTAATGTGCAGAAGATGGGGTTACAAAATAGAAACAGTGGCTTCAGTAACATGCTATGGAAAGGCAGCTGGAAAGGGACACGTCAATTCTACTGAAGGCTGATGGTTACGCAGCTTTCTAAACAGACTAGCCAGCCTGACAGACTGTATGCAAAGCCCTGTTGCACCCTAGAAGCTAGCAATTTCACTGAGATTCATGGTAAATACTGCATTTTGAGGCATGAGGAATTTTGGCTTCCAAAAGGAATTACAGTATTTATCCAGGATGTAATTAATATGACTTTATAAAGACTTATACATTTGCACCTTCAAAGAGCTGTACTCTAAACTCCGTGCCACTACCCTTTAGAGAGAACTAAGATCAAGTTCAGCTCAGGAAAAAACAGTGTATCTCCTTAGGCTTGTGAGAAGTTTCTTTTGATCAACAAGATGTTTTGGAAAGGTTTAACTTCGTGAGTTTTTGCACAGTCCTGTGCAAAGGAAATGGGATTGTAATGTTCTGCGTGCCTACGGAGCGCCCTGGCTAATTCATAAGCTATTTTATATGCTCATGAGACACTGACATAAAATTTTTTATTTTATACTTACACTGCCTTACTTGAATAATCGCTAATTGGGTGCTTCCTGCTTTGCAGTGAAGAGTTATTTTGTTAATAGTTTTGCAAACTCCAGACTTTTAAACCACTATTGTCAGTTCAAACACTCAGAGGTAGATCCCTCTTCTAAGCTAAACTTCTGCGTATCTTCAGTGCAAACACATTAGAACACACATCAAAAGAATTATGACAAAATAGGAACAAATACAGGATATCCAGAATTTCAGAAAGGCATTCAGTAACCAGCATGAAAGATAACAATCAGGAAAATACTTGGCTGCTTTTTTTAACGTCAGATAAACTCAGAAAGATGGGAAAGTTCAGAGCTTTTTTCCCCCACTAGCTTTCCTTAAGCAGCCATACACACTATCCACTCGCTAACGTAACAGCAGTAACAAAGTGCAAGAGCTTGACCTCAAACAGGAGACGAATGGGTTAGGAAATACTTAAATAAATGATGTTTCAAGTGGTCTGAACCTGCTG